AAAAAAAAAAAAACAATTTTTTGCTTTTTTCAGGTTTTCTTCCAGTCTTTTAAAAAAATTTTACAGTAAAAATTTCTAATTTATTAACAGAAATCCAAAGCAAAAAAAAACCACCACCTACAGAACATCACTAAAACAATGGCCATTAAACACAACAAATACAGACACGTATTTCCGCTTTATTTCTCTTTTTTCCTTTACAGCTAAACGACAGTAATGGTGGTCATTATTGATGTTGGTGTTTCAGTGAAGTTCTTCCGTCGTTGCATTTTTTTGTTCCTCCTCTTCTCCGTTTTTTTTTTTTTACCTTTTTGTTTATTTAAGAAAAGAAAAGAAATTTTTAATTTCATTTAGAAAAAATTTAAATTTGAGCAGTATTTTTTTTTTCCTATTTAGGTTGCCTAAACGGTTAAAAATGGCCAACAACAACAACAACAGTAACAACACAAATGAATTCACACAAACAAAAAGCACTAAAATCAAAAAGGCATTAAAGACAAAAAAAAAAATTAACAATTTTACTACGTAATCTAGATGGTAATCAAAATGTAAAAAAACTCTCAAAGTAGTTGAAACAACTATTCCAACAGCAGTAACATGTTGGTTGCCATACCTTTAGACTGTTCACCAAATCAAACATCAAGTTACGTTGGCTGCTGCTGTTTAAAGATAACCGTTCAGCACAGTAAAACCGATCACTTTAAACAAGGAACATACATAAATCAACAGAAGAATCATTTTTCTACTACAGACACTAAACGCTGTATCGCCTTATCAATCTTTTTTTTTTTTTTCGCCTATATTTTCATCATTCCAATCTAATCCTTCAATAATCATTATTTTTACTCTAACAACTAAGCTATACTTCAGATGTTATTGCTGAAAAACGGTAACGACGAAGAAGATGTCATTTATAACGATGCCGATACCAATGACGATCATGGTGATGATAATGGTGATCATCGTCATCATTAATAGTTGATACTGAAGACTGAAAGAAAAAAAAAGAGAAAGATTATTTCTTAAGAACAACAGTAAATTTAGAAAAAAAAACAGCAAATGCTAAATTTACCATCAGCCATCACTCATTTACTAAAGATGGCAGACAGATTTATCCAACGACAAAGGTGGCAAACAATTTTTTTTATAAAAGACCAATAAGAAATTTAGAGCTGCAACAGTGTAGAAATGCAGCCATATATCTGTAGCAATGACTGGGTTAGCAAATATCGCCGATAATCACTTAACTATTTAAATCTTTTTTGAAATATTTTGTATTTTATAATTAATTATCTTCAACCTCTTTTTCTGCTTAGCCAATTGGTATTTGTTAAAAAGTATACATATAAACATTTGCAAAAAAAATTTTTAAGAATTACGAAAAAGTGAGCTTTCCTGATGTTATTAAATTAAAGCGTAACATTAAGCCTTCTGATATACTTTCTTTCGTAAGCGTCAAAAAAAAAAAACAGTTGAAGATTTATGTACAATAACAACAAAGAACTATGTCATTAAATAAACTTTATGTTTTTCGTTTTTCCTTTACTATGCCTTAATTAATCAAACAACATACGAAAGTTCTGCAAATGTCTATTGACTGAAGAATGATTAGTAGGCAATGGAAAAGCAAATAATTAATGCAGCTATTTCAACAAAAATCGCTGAAAAAAAAAGATTAAAACAGAATAAGAAAATATATAGATAAAAAAAAAACGATTAAATTAATTACTGAGCTATTGTACCAGTAAGTCAAAGTTTCATAACACGGCAACACGCCGATCATCTGCTCTTCATTTTGACACTTTAAAATTTCTAAATCTTTTAATTTCTAGCAATATTTGTCAAAAATAAGCGATATATTTTTCAACTTTCTAATTTTAATCTTCGTTTTTTGTTACTCAAAAAAGAAAAATTTGAAGAGCATTATCAACATTCTAACATAGTCCCTTAACAGTCGACAAATGAAGAAGAAAAAACGGCATCGATGTGGTGGTATAGCAGAGACATAAACATTATCGTTTTATGAGGTTATTCTGAAGTTATATGTATCAATTTTAGTCCTTCTGCAGCGGTAACAGTAGTAGTAGTAACTCTTTGTATTCAGTGAATGTTTCATGAAAATAAAGACAAAAAAAGGGAGAAAACAAAGAGAAGTAAAGCGCGAATGAACTGAAAATTCCGTACGAAAATAAACTGATTAACTAATAAAAAAAACGCTGTTTTCATTTTCTTAATTTTATCATCATTTTAATGCTCATTTACTTTTAAACACAAAAAACTTTTTCTATTTAATAATAGTTGCAAAAAAAAAAAAAATAATAATAAAAAAACGAGAAAATGAAAACGCCCTCACTAAATTCCATTGATAATGTAAATTATTTTATAACTAACTACTTTTCAGTTGTCTGTAAAAGACAGTTTTACCTTTCATATAGAACAGTAAAGAAACAACTAAATAAAATTATGCTTCCTTCTTCTTCTTTTCTGCTTTTTTTTTCTGCTTATACATTATAATTACTTGAAATATCGTTGTAAACAAAAGACGAAGTTTTTAGCAAAAAAGAAAAACAGTAGCCAAAGCTTTTTTGCTTCTTTCTTATAGCGTAATTAAGAAAAAAAAAGCTTAGAAACGCTGTTATTCAGTGAATCTGTCTAGCGACAAAGAAAAATGTGCAAAATTTTGTACTAAAACAACAAGTAACAAGTCAAAAAGTCAGCGAAAAAAAAGGGTTCAAAGTTTATTAATTGATACAGAAATATTTAATAGAGATAATTACGTTGACATTACCAGTCATTTACATTCTTAGACATATTTATTGTCGCCAAGTATCAGCGGTGTTTCTGTGTATTTCTGTATCATCGGAATGTTTTCTTCAATAATCATTGTCATACCGTCGGCCACCCTCCGATTCCCGGTGTCCACCCAGTTACATAACTTCATTTACTTTTAAACTGTTACAAATATATTTCTGTTAAAAACACTGTGGTAGTCAGATAAGGCAAAAAAAACGATGTTTTAAATACTGATCGTTCAAATCTGTGGTTCTTCTTCGTTCTACTTTCCGTATGCTTAAACGTTTTAAAAATCTTGATCCCCAGTTTTTTCGTTGATAATTGTAAAACTTTTCTTTAATTTTTTTTTGATCCAATTTTTCTTCTCCACTTCAGATCATTGCAATTGCACTACTATACATTTACCAATCAACCAAAAAAAAAAAAAACTTTATATACATATACATTCAATAAACGGAACAAAAAAATGTAGAGAAAAAAAAGCAAAGCAGACATGTTCAACAAACAGATGGTTATTTAAATCAAGCAAAAAAAAAAAAAAAAAAAAGTTGATATGAATTTATAGAGAAAAATTGACTAAAAATTTTTACTTGATAGGCGTAAGCGTAGACAGTCTTCCACTTTTTCTTTGTCTACTTAAAAATGCTACCAATTTTTGGCAGATTCCGTTAGTGTAACACGATATCCCGATATATCAAAAGAAACAGCAGAAGCTCAAAAAAATTTGACTAAAGCTTCCCCAACTTTTCTGCCTGTTTCGATTAAAGACTATAGGAGTATAAACTGTCACAATAGTTTAAAAAAGCCGTAAACTGAGGAAGACTGTTGGTTGTTTAAATACTGTCGTATTTGGGTTTTGAATATTCAGACAGATTTTTGTCTCCTATATTGTACCCTCCCAAAACAGATCGTTGTTGATCTGTTAGTGTTGCTGTCGATACCACTGTTGTTGTTGTTGTTGTAGGTAAATTTTTTGAGTGACAATTGTTGAACCCCTCCTCAGCCGGCATCTTCAATACCGATCAAACCGTAGAAACTAAATCTTTTTGCAGTCTAACCTTTAAGTGTAATGTAATTAATAACATTATTAATGTTAAAAAGAATCTACATAAATCAAGAGAAGAAAAAAAAACAATGTCCTTCAAATGGTGATAACTTTTTTTGTTCGTTTCAAATAACAGAAAAGGCCTTTTTTATTGCTTATTTCTAAATGTTTTTGTTAATAAAATACCCAAATAAAAATTGATCGCTCAGTAATGCACAGTTTATTTGTCTATGTATAATTTGTATTCACTGCAAAAAGGGACCATCAATTGATGACTTAATTGTTGATAAATTTTTTTAAATAAAAAAAAAAAAGTGGAATCTGAATAACACATTCCATTAAAAAAGCATCTAAAAAATTGTTATCAATGAGAAAAAAAATTTTGTCCTCTACTGTTTCACTTATAAAATAAAAAAAATCCTTTCTTTTTTTCCACTTCACATATTCCACTATTTCATCTCTCCCTGTTCTTTTGCTTCATTTTTATCATTAAACACACCAGTTTAGACCAGCAATGATTTGAGGCTGCAATTTGAGTATTATAATTAATATATAAAGAAAGATGAGAAAATACAGCAATTTTTCTCTCATACATTACAAATGAATATCCTTTTTTTTTGCTAAAATTTGCTGCCAGTCAAATTTTCTACGACAGTGACACAACTCTGAAGATGACGTTTAGCGTCAAGAAACTGAAACGAGAACTGTACAAAAAAAAACAGCTGTTTTCACAGATGTTTTAAAACACCAAAAAATATTTGCAGTTTTCTTGACGCATTAAGAAAAAGAAAGTTGTACTCAGAAACAGATAAGTAAAACCTTTAAAAGTCTAAAACTGAAATATAAAATTCATACCAAACACAACGAAGAAAAGAAATTAAGAGAAAGAACAAGAAGAAGAAGCCCTATAAGAGAAATGTCTAAAGCCAATTGATAATACTGCAACAGAAACAGCAAAATAAACGGTGAAAAATAAGACAACAAGAATTTGGCCATCGTCAAAATCGTAAAAAAAAAAGAAAAACAGTTTATTGGACTTCTTTTTCGTGGTAGATTCATTCCGATGCTATCATCTGTATCCATTTTTTTCAGTTCATGACCTTTAATTCTCCTTCCCCCTTACCCGTCTAAAAAAAGCAACGGTTACCGTGAAAAAAGACTTTTTTTTTGAAGAAAGATCAATTTTTGCTACATTTCCAATTTTTCTCAACCCCCCATTATTCCCACCCTCAATCTTCTTGAAAAATTTATAAGATAAACAGAAAAAAAAAGTATTTTTTTTCTGCTCCTGTTGAAGAACAAAAGAATAGTGAATCCAAATAAATGATTATGATTCTTTAGG